GGTAGACTAAGCGTCTCTGCTAAAACTTGCTAAAATCTTACCCAAACACACTACTGTCACTCTCTGTGTTTTAATACAGGTAAAGCAAAGCTCAAATGCAAACACTATAACTGTTACTTTCTGTGTTCTATCATAGGTACAAGTTGAGAATCGAAGCCATGCTGCTGAAGGAGGAGTTCGAGACGACGATGGACCAGATTGAACCTTCCATCAACGCTGTCATCTACGCCGCCAGGGATATCCTCACTAACCCGCACCTACAGGAGGTCCTCTACATGGTCCTCGTAGCAGGGAACTTCCTCAACAGCGTAAGTACTTTGTATAAATGTCTTAGAGATTTGGGCAACAACTGGGAATCGTTATTGTGGACACATTTCGCCAGCTAGTGGCATCTTCAGTTCAGTACAGAGAAGAACGGTGGGATATAAGGAGGTTAAGGTGATCAGTTCGTCAGCCTGAACACATGGACTCAGGCTAAGGGACTGATTACCACAACCTTCTCATCTTCCACCATTCTGTGTATTGGACTGAAGAAGCCAATGTGTGGGGAAACGTTTTCACAATAAAGATACCCAAGTGTTGCACGTGTCTAATTCAGCAGTGGGATTAGAAATCTGGGCTTATCAGTGGCCACGTTGTTGCTGGAGTATTTTCATAACTCCGTTCTTGCAGTCTCGGATAAAGTTGAGAGGGAAGTATGTGTAAAAACGTGATTGATGCACTGATGTCCCTGTTCACCTAGCAGTAAGTAGGTACCCGGGTGTTAGTTACCTTACAGCAGCTGTCCCTGTTCACCTAGCAGTAAGTAGGTACCTGGATGTTAGTGGACTAGTGTGGGTGGTATCCTAGGGACAAGAATGGAGGACCACAATGGTAATAAGACAGTCCTCGGTGACGCACTGGCTTTACGGGGATATCCTGGCATCAGTTTTTCCTATTAAAAATTCAGCACTGGTGATAAGGGTAGGTCTTTGAAAAGAAAACAATGACAGATTCGCCAGGAAACAGGACAAGTATTTCCTGACGCTTGTCTTAGTCTTATGAAGACCCACAGATGGAGTTTTTGGCCATCTGTCCGAGGCCTTCCACTTTGTTGGTGCGAATGTCGTAGTGTGAGTACGAGTTATCATTGTGAGTTTGGTGTAGACTGAGGGTTGTGTTGCAGGGAGGCTACGCTGGGAATGCTGCAGGTGTCAAGCTGTCTTCGTTGCAGAAGTTGACAGATATACGAGCAAACAAGCCTGGGATGACCCTCCTGCACTACGTTGTACAGGTATGTCTCTCTCTCTCTCTCTCTCTCTCTCTCTCTCATATATATATATATATATATATATATATATATATATATATATATATATATATATATATATATATATATATATATATAATGTCGTGTCGAATAGGTAAAACCTGCGATTTTACCTTGAATAGCAACACTTCTTGCCGAATAAAGCTAGAAAAAATTCGTGTATACAAAAATTTCACAAAAATCATTCTGAACCTAACGAAAAAAAATATATTTCATTGCTTTTGTTTATTATTAAATTATTGTAAACTTATCTAAAATATATTTAGTTGGATTAAGCTAAATTAAATTACGCTTGTTATAATAAGGTCAGGTAAGTTTTCTAAGGTTCTTTTGGTACAAAATTATTAATTTTTACATTAACATAAATGATAAAAAATATATCTTTAAACGTATAAGAGAAATTTTTACATAGGACTTAATTTTAAATAAATTCTTGTTAACTGACCAATTTTACCTATTCGGCGCGACACACAAACACATACACACGCATATATATATATATATATATATATAATATATATATATATATATATATATATATATATATATATATATATATATATATATATATATATATTATATATATCACTGCACTAGCCAAGGAGTCGAACCCATGGTGTTTTGGCCCGCGTCATGGTGAGAGAAAATGGTGCATCCAGCTAAGCTAGATGAAATTAGCTCAGAGGTGTCCACACCACCGTATGTACTTCGACGGTGGGTACAACATCTAGCTTGGCTGGATGCACCATTGTTAAGGATTGTGTGGTCTTGTGGTCTAAAGTGTCATGCGTTTTCTCTCACCATGAGGCGGGCCAAAACACCATGGGTTCGACTCCTTGGCTGGTGCAGTCACAAACTACTGTTTGTGACTCTGTTCATTATCCCATCTATCTTTATTTCCTTCATGTATCTATTTACATATACATATTATTGCACTTTTCTAGATATACCTTTCTTAATATCTAATATCCATGTAAACTCGCCTATTGGAAGCCCCGTAGGTCAGTGGTATAGCGCTCAACCTGTTATTAATGGGACCACGGTTCGAGTCTCCCATCCACCTTTATGTTTATTCATTTGTCTTGGTTTGATAAAGTTCTGATTCATTGTTTCTTTCCAGCAAACTGAGAGACGAGATCCAGAGTTGCTGAAGTTCCCGGATGAGATGTCGTGTCTGGAAGAAGTAACCAAGTGAGTCTGTATACTGTGTGATAGTCTTAATGGACGGTGGGTCCTCCAGGGAGGTACTGCCCTCCTGGATAGTAACCGTCCAGGGAGGTACTATCCTCCTGGATAGTAACCGTCCAGGGAGGTACTACCCTCCTGGATAGTAGCCGTCCAGGGAGGTACTGCCCTCCTGGATAGTAACCGTCCAGGGAGGTACTACCCTCCTGGATAGTAGCCGTCCAGGGAGGTACTACCCTCCTGGATAGTAACCGTCCAGGGAGGTACTGCCCTCCTGGATAGTAACCGTCCAGGGAGGTACTACCCTCCTGGATAGTAACCGTCCAGGGAGGTACTACCCTCCTGGATAGTAACCGTCCAGGGAGGTACTGCCCTCCTGGATAGTAACCGTCCAGGGAGGTACTGCCCTCCTGGATAGTAACCGTCCAGGGAGGTACTGCCCTCCTGGATAGTAACCGTCCAGGGAGGTACTACCCTCCTGGATAGTAACCGTTCAGGGAGGTACTACCCTCCTGGATAGTAACCGTTCAGGGAGGTACTATCCTCCTGGATAGTAACCGGCTGGATAGTATCCTGGATAGTAAGTGGCTGTGGGTAGAGAGTGCTTGTACTTAAGTGGTTGTGGGTAGAGAGTCCTTGTACTTAAGTGGCTGTGGGTAGAGAGTGCTTGCACTTAAGTGGCTGTGGGTAGAGAGTGCTTGTACTTAAGTGGTTGTGGGTAGAGAGTGTTTGTACTTAAGTGGTTGTGGGTAGAGAGTCCTTGTACTTAAGTGGTTGTGGGTAGAGAGTGCTTGTACTTAAGTGGTTGTGGGTAGAGAGTGTTTGTACTTAAGTGGTTGTGGGTAGAGAGTCCTTGTACTTAAGTGGTTGTGGGTAGAGAGTCCTTGTACTTAAGTGGTTGTGGGTAGAGAGTCCTTGTACTTAAGTGGTTGTGGGTAGAGAGTCCTTGTACTTAAGTGGTTGTGGGTAGAGAGTCCTTGTACTTAAGTGGTTGTGGGTAGAGAGTCCTTGTACTTAAGTGGTTGTGGGTAGAGAGTCCTTGTACTTAAGTGGTTGTGGGTAGAGAGTCCTTGTACTTAAGTGGTTGTGGGTAGAGAGTGCTTGTACTTAAGTGGTTGTGGGTAGAGAGTCCTTGTACTTAAGTGGTTGTGGGTAGAGAGTCCTTGTACTTAAGTGGTTGTAGGTAGAGAGTCCTTGTACTTAAGTGGTTGTGGGTAGAGAGTGTTTGTACTTAAGTGGTTGTGGGTAGAGAGTCCTTGTACTTAAGTGGTTGTAGGTAGAGAGTCCTTGTACTTAAGTGGTTGTGGGTAGAGAGTGCTTGTACTTAAGTGGTTGTAGGTAGAGAGTGCTTGTACTTAAGTGGTTGTAGGTAGAGAGTCCTTGTACTTAAGTGGTTGTGGGTAGAGAGTGCTTGTACTTAAGTGGTTGTAGGTAGAGAGTCCTTGTACTTAAGTGGTTGTAGGTAGAGAGTCCTTGTACTTAAGTGGTTGTAGGTAGAGAGTCCTTGTACTTAAGTGGTTGTAGGTAGAGAGTCCTTGTACTTAAGTGGTTGTGGGTAGAGAGTGCTTGTACTTAAGTGGTTGTGGGTAGAGAGTCCTTGTACTTAAGTGGTTGTAGGTAGAGAGTCCTTGTACTTAAGTGGTTGTGGGTAGAGAGTCCTTGTACTTAAGTGGTTGTGGGTAGAGAGTCCTTGTACTTAAGTGGTTGTGGGTAGAGAGTCCTTGTACTTAAGTGGTTGTGGGTAGAGAGTCCTTGTACTTAAGTGGTTGTAGGTAGAGAGTCCTTGTACTTAAGTGGTTGTGGGTAGAGAGTCCTTGTACTTAAGTGGTTGTGGGTAGAGAGTCCTTGTACTTAAGTGGTTGTGGGAGTTCGGTGTGAAACAGGTATTATATTATGCAAATCGTCAATTCCATCGGCGAAGTAGTGTGTACTGACAATTATGTGAAGATTTCTTTACTGAGGAAACGTTTCGCCACACAGTGGCTTCATCAGTCCAATACAAAGGAGAATGGTGAAGAACAGGAGGAGTTTGAAGTAATCAGTCCCTCAACATTTGAATCTGTCAAGTGTGATACCACCTACCACTGCTGCACCTCACCTGCATACAGTATATAAGCCACTGAGGGATTGTTTACCTCAAACTCCTGTTCTGTTCAGTTTTAAACCCTATATCACACAGCAGTCTTAATGTATCAAGCTTTATTAAGATAATAAGGTCTTGCACCTATGTCTTATTCAACATTTTATGAGAACATAAGTGCACTGCAAGAGACCTACTGGCCCATACTAGGCAGGTCTTTCTCAAACCCAAACCCACTAACAAAAATATTTACCCAAACCAAATAGAACACAGAGTAATAGTAAAGAGAGTAAAGTCTGAGGCAGCTACGGTGAAAAGCTCTGTTCCACAAGGCACAGTACTCGCTCCCATTCTGTTCCTCATCCTCATTTCTGACATAGACAGAGATGTAAGCCATAGCTCCGTGTCTTCCTTTGTGGATGACACCTGGATCACCATGACAGTGACCTCCATCGAAGACACTGTGAGACTCCAAGCGGACATCAACCAAATCTTCGACTGGGTCACTCAAAACAATATGAAGTTCAACGAGGAGAAATTTCAGCTACTCAGATATGGGAAACTTGAAGAAATTAAAAATGTGTTAGAGTATACGACAAATTCTAACCTTACAATGGAGCGGAGAAGTAACGTGAAGGACCTGGGAGTGATAATGTCAGAGGATCTCACCTTCAAAGACCACAACAATGTATCTACCTCATCTGCCAGGAAAATAATAGGATGGATAATTAGAACCTTCAAAACTAGGGACACCAAGCCCATGATGATTCTCTTCAAATCGCTTGTACTCTCTAGGCTGGAATATTGCTGTACACTAACGGCCCCCTTCAAGGCTGGCGACATTGCAGACCTGGAGAATGTATAAAGAATTTTCACGGCACACATAAGTACGATAAGGCACCTAAATTACTGTGGAACGGTTGAAGATCCTTGATTTGTATTCCCTGGAATGCAGGCGAGAGAGATACATGATAATATACACTTGGAAGGTCCTGGAGGGATTGGTACCAAACTTGCGCACGAAAATCACTCCCTATGAAAGCAAAAGACTCGGCAGGAGATGCAACATTCCCCCGATGAAAAGCAGAGGCGTTAGCCACTGGGATAGCTAGCTTCAGTTGTAGCTGGCTGGCCCAGTGGCTAATGCGTCGGTCTGGAGTTTTATGACTCTCTGATCGCGGGTTCAAACCCCGCCCGGGGTATGGTTTGTTTGCGATCATATCATTACGATTTCGTGAGTCATCTTGCTTACTCTAAATTCTGACATACCTTTAATAAGTTCCGAGAGCTTTATAACTCTCACAGCCCGACCTCGCAACCTGAACTCACAGCCCGACCTCGCAACCCGAGCTCACAGCCCGACCTCGCAACCCGAACTCACAGCCCGACCTCGCAACCCGAACTCACAGCCCGACCTCGCAACTCGAACTCACAGCCCGACCTCGCAACCTGAAATCACAGCCCGACCTCGCAACCCGACCTCAAGGAAAAGAGGAACCAGTAAAGAGATTATCATAGAAAGTTTTAATGGGGATATTGAAGAGTCAAATGAATTAGGGTGGTAGAGAGTAACACCATACACAGCTTCAAGGACAGGTACGACAGAATCCATAAGGCCGTAAAAAAACTTACATAATCGGTTGTATGCAGCTAAGAGGAGGGTCCAGGAGCTGAGAGACTACCCGTTTTCCAACCACAATCTCTCGAGTACTTTGTGTACTCATTGACTTGTATTTACGGGGGTCGAGTCCTGACTCTTTGTCCCGTATTTTCAGCTTTAGAGACTGGTATTACTGCTCTCTGACCTTTGGAGCCCTATTATATCTCTTAAAATTATGTTTTTATATATGTGGTGTGTGTATGTGTGTGTGTGTGTGTGTGTGTGTGTATTCACCTAGTTATCCTTGTTGGGGTCGATTCGCAGCTTCCTGGACGAATTTATACTCTCCAAGAGACGCATACAGAGAGTCAGTAGACCTTGAGCTAGAGCAACACACAGCTCCTCCCTAGCCCCGAGGCCTTGACTGGCTCATCACTTACTCTCCACCTCGCAACTACCGGTTACCCTTTCCAGTTACCTCCTTAATCACCTCTGATCCTCTGATGGTCGCTCCAGCACTGACCCTCACCGCTATGGAAAGATTATCCCATCTCTGTTAAGGCACCAGTGGTGCAGATAATGCTGTGTATCATGCGTTTAGCTGGGTATGAGAGATGATGGGGTGGTTTGTGTGTGTAAATACTGCCACTAGACGCCCTCTCTGCTGAAGTTGTGCCCTGAATTTCAATGCGTTGTGGGACCCCGCCCGGATTTCCTACCCAGACTGGCTGCCAAGTAGATTCCAGTACTGCAAACATGGCCATATCTGAGATGATTTACTGGCGCAGCGAGCACTTACACCATTCATTTCCGAACGTATTTAACCCAGAAGTTCGTCCTAACAATGACTTCTCAATCCGGTCACGGTAATTCAGTCATGAAACTCGGGCAACTCTCTCTCTCCCTCTCTCTCATATTGCAGATTCTCCTTGTTGCCAGTAGTGGTTCTTGCCTGAGGGTTCAGAACCTTAACCTCAGAAAAAATTAAATATATTGTCATCGCCAGAGTTAGTGCTGACGTTTGTGTACAGAATAAAAAAGTATACCATGGCTGGAACAATTCACTGGAAAACAGTACTTGAGAATCCTTAAGACGACGTGTCGGTCTATCCTCGACCATTGTCAAGCTACAGTTGGGGAGAAGAAAAAACAGAGAAGGCCTAAAGACAATACGGTGTGGTGGGGGAAGAAGGTAGCAGTAGTGGTGATAGTAGTAGTAGCAGTAGTGGTGGTAGGAATAGTAGTAACAGTTGTAGTTGTGGTAGTATTTGTGGTAGTAGTGCTGGTGGGCCGTGTAAGTCTTGATACAAGTATAAAAATGGCCTA